ATGATATTTTCTCAATAGCCAGACATTTTTGATAGTTCCAACCCCTTGCCAGACAAGTATGTAGGGTCGCTGTAGAAACGAGCGCGAGGTAGTATATATATGTGAGTGCGAGTGAGATGGCGAGTTAGGTCTATTGCGATCCCTGAGCGCGCAGCTGATATTTCCACAGCGCATGTATTGTTTAGTGCTCAGTATATGTTTACATCAACAAAAATAATGTAATATGACATCATGAAGCTTTATTAATTTAACATTTATTATTAATTAATAACATAGGATATTCCAAGTACATCAAAACTGGAGTCTCGTTCGAGCCTCCGTAGGGATCGGACGTCTTTTGTGATATAGTGATTAGGGTATGCCGTAACGAGAGCCACTTGCTATCTAACATAACTTAAACTAACATAACCTAAGCTAACCTAAGCTAACTAACCTAACCTAACCTAACCTAACCTGGCTTTGCGTTGTGGTTAGGATGGGAGATAGAGAGTATGATGGGGGGGGGTTGCCCGGGGGGGGGGAAAACGGGGAACTCTATGGAGGAGTTGTCGGGTGTGGACGACTCGATGTCGTCTCGTCCGGAGTCGGCGTTAGGGCCCAAGCGTCTCTTTTCGGAGATCTCTGGCTCCGACACCGAGACTGGGGGGGGGATGGCTCGAGAGTCGATCCCAGCGGGAAGACGAGGCCGCGGTCGCGCCTTGACCAGGGCACGAAAATTTTTAAGGGAGAGGGAAGAAGAGGAGTTGGAGGCCGCCTTCGACTCCTGTATGGAGAGGAGGCTGGCGAAGGAAAGGGACGGTAAGAAGGAAAGGGAGGTTCCTCCGGAATTAGGAACGATGGGGGCGGAGGCCATCATGGTTGAGGCGGAGAAGAGCCTCAACCTGATCAAAGAGTTGGTGGGGAAAAGTACCAACCTCAAGGGGGGGTACTCTTCGAAAATTATGAAGGCCTCCGCCTTCTTGAAGGAGGTGCTTGACGTCCTGGTGACGCGCACCGAGGCAGAGGAGACCCACCGCCTTAGAGCCGACATCGGTCGGCTCCAAAGGGAAAACGCGGGTCTAAAGGAGGAGGTACGCGCTCATCGCCTCCAATTTGAGGAGATGAGAAAGGAGAGGATTTCGGCAGCTAAGGAGGCTTCGGAGGGCTCAGTCAGCCAGGACCAACTCCAAACGCTGGAGTCAAACATTGCCAGGTTGGTTGGCAACCTGAATAAATTAACAGTATCTCTTATACACTATGATACTATGTCATATAACCGATCTATTTTTTTATCCTATGTAATAACTTGTAGTATCACGAATCTGTTTTTAATAAAATTTTTGAATTTTTGAAAAATATTTCTATTTGGTTTTTCTTTTTAACTAGTTACTGGAGGAATAAATTGAAATTTTTAACAATTCCGAGTAGTTGTAGCAACGAATGTCATTTCTGAAGAAATTTTTAAAATTTACATCAGTTATTTGTCACATAAATTGGCCAAAAAGTTTATTTGGATAAGTCATTCTAATCATGAATCTCTTTTTAACATTTACATTGATTGTCCGGCAGAGAGATTGAAAACAGAAAAAAATATCTGGCTAAGGAGGAAACATCATCTAATAACTACCTAAGTATTATATAAAAATGAGCGATTTAATTATAAAGTAAGTAATGCTATTATTGATATTTTTCTTATAATTAATAATGAATATTAAATTTATCTTTAAAAATAGCATATATTAATTTTACTGACATACGCATGTACAAAGTAGTAAACAATACAAGCGCATCTCACTCGCACTCACATATATATACTACCTCGCGCTCGTTTCTACAGCGACCCTACATACTTGTCTGGCAAGGGGTTGGAACTATCAAAAATGTCTGGCTATTGAGAAAATATCATCTACTCATTACCCAAGTATCCTGTATAAAAATCAGCTTTTATACTATAACGTAAGTAGAATTATTATACCCTGAACATTAAGGGTGTCTGGCAAGGGGTTACCACGATGTTAAGTGTCTGGTAATGAATAATGTGATTTTTAATAACATTCTAAAGGTAATACCAAAAAATCGCTCTGTATAATTTGACGAAACTATATTAGTATTTTACATACCTTTAGTACCGTTTACCTGCCAAAGCCACTACAACCCGAATTTCATAATGGACCTTCGTTCTTACCTGTGTTGGGAGCATGCGCTGACAAACTTTCAGCTTTTATAAAATAACGAAGGTCTGGGGTTCACGGGCTCTTAGACTATTAACAAATATAGTCATCTTAATAGTGCGATTTAGAATATTTTGGAATCATTAAATGACAGAAATCGCTTAATTATATTATATCCTGAAATCATCTCTTGAACTTGTTTGTTAGAAACTTTTCATAAGAAACTGAGATTCGTCGTTGAGGGTAGGATATCTAGGTTAATTATATAAAACCTTCTTCGTACTCAATAGAGATTATAGTGAATGTGGAAAATTAAAATCGTTTGAAGCTAAATAATGAAGACATGTAGATATACAACTGACTTCTGCTCTAGACGAAGTTAAGCAAATAAATAGGGTTGACGCTTACAATAGGAAAACCTATAATTTGGAGTGATAAATGTTATACAAAAATCGTTCTGAAGGGGCATAGTAAAAGAAAAGGACTATGGAGAAATATATACATATAAATAAAATTATTGAATAATTATTATCATATTGGTGATAAAAGGATTTTAATGAATTGTATACATGTGTTGGTTGAATATAAATATAACTTTCAAATTACAAATTAAATATCTTAAATTTGCAAGAACATTTTAATCTTCATTTGTTTCTGTTATAGTTTTCAATCTCATTAACGACATAGTGCACATGGTTTGTGTAACCAGTTTTTATAGAATCAGTCACACATCGTCGTGTATAATATCAAGTCTGATGAAATTCTGACGACACAAGATGAAATTATGACCATCAACTGTCCAATGTGTCCTTCATTTTGATAAAAATTATAAACCTTTATCAATAGTTTCTAAATTATATAGACACTTATCAACCCTCGACAATAAGTAGGTAAGTGTTAGATACGGCAAAATAGTACGATATGGTTCTGCTGCAGTTTTGTATATTTTTGTTTGTTTATCTCCTTTAATAAGTGAGTATTGTTTATAGAGAACGTTAAAAATACATGTTTAGTGCTCTTTGGTTGTTCGTGTTAGTTCAAAACTTTCTTTTAAAAGCAAGTGATTGTATAGGTATAGTACATATTAAAGTAACAATGGAAGCTATTCTAACAAATTGTAATTCTCTTATACTTTAGAGATAATATATTGCAATAATAATTGTTCATTTTCCATTAAATCAATAAAAAAGTAATAATTTGTTTACATAACTAAGTACTTGTTAGTAAGAAAATGATTTCCAAATCATAACGCAACAAACAATGAGAGTTTGCAAAGAATTACATTATTACCAATATAATATTTGTAATTTATAACTTTAATAATATTATCATTACAATATCTGTAGAAAATTGCACTAATTTTAGTATTCTTGTAACTTTATATCAGAGTTTTTTTATGATCTTTCGTAATTTTAACATTACGAGATAATAAGTCATTACAATTGCGACGTTTTAACGATATCATAAAATTTTAATTATTTTTTTGATTAATTTAACTCGAGTAAAATAGATCTCTTAGGTTGTATTAAAATAAAAATAATTACTGTGCTTAAATTATTATCGAGGTCATAATATATATGAGTAGATTAATATTATTACATAATCTTAAAATCATTTAAAATTTCAATGATAATAGTTCCTTTTACGAACAATTTATTTATAAGGCAAACAAAACCGTTATCCCTGCACACACTATACATATCTGTCGGTTGCAGGTAAATCTACGAATCAATGAGTCAGAATTTAATTAAATTCAATGCATTTTATGTTTTTTTTTTCTGTAATGACGCTATTTAAAATATAATATAAAAAAGGGGAAAAACCTTATGCATTCGACCGCTAATTCTATCGAAACTTGTTCTTAGGTCTCTTTTTACGTGTGCTTGTTTTATTTAATTGTTTTCTAATTTACATTATATTAATGTTTAATAGTTTAAAAGAATCTTGGATTTAAATAAATATAATGATATGTGTTTATATTTTTTTCTGATACTTCTTATAGGAAGATAGAAAGACAAGCAATTTTAATTCTACTAGATCCTTCTGCATTAAAATCTTCTAGTATTAATACTTTTTTTAATCAATGATATTTTTTCACACTCATTATAATATACACCCGAAAGTTTAGTTTCATTTTCTTTACATTAATGACAGTGTATATTATATTATTATTTTTACAATTATAATAACATTAAGAAGAGCTAGGTTTTATAAAACTTATGTGGTCATGATTTTAACGATAAATAGAGGAAGTTATTAATTGCTATAACTCTATTTTCAAGGCTGTTTATGAATGATTATTCATTTTATGATTATAAAAACAAATTTTTACAAATCAAACTATTTGACTTTAATTTGAACAGGTTGTCGTTTGTATATAAATTAGGAAACGAAATACAATGAAATGTTATTTTCATTTCAATTAGTTCACATTTCCTTCATTAATGATATAAAGACTCTTGAGATAGTTATTACAGACCATTGTCGACAATCAACGTATTCTTAGGAGAGAGCAATAAACTCTTTTCCTAAAAACTATTAAACCTTTTTAAACGAGTATTAGCTTTCATTACGTTTTTATAGCAAGTAAAACAATGCACATTGATTTGGACTACTTTTCTTAATAAGTTTTGAGTAGGTGTCTGCTTACGAGCTAAATTATTTAAAAAAGATTTTTTTAGGGCAGTTTTTTTCTGAATGACAATTGAACTAGCACAAATGTTTTAGATATAATACCATTTATCAAATATTTTATAAGAAATGTGTTTTATACTTCTGCAACTATAATAATTTTTTTATAAATATTCATGTTCGTTGTACGTGTAAATCGTAGAGCAACCACAATCTACCATGGATGATTTATATAAAAGATTAGAATATTTCTTAAAACATTGTTGTTTTTGTTTTATCAGGCAAGCTGAAGTATTAAATTTAGCTGGAGGTGCAAAGTCCAACTACACTTTCCCGAAGGATTTTCTTTTTGGTGTCTCAACAGCGGCGATACAAATTGAAGGAGCATGGAATGAAGATGGTATGAAATATACTATTATATATGATAGTCGATATATTTTACTCTATGTATTCAATAATAAGTCTAGTTAAAGCGATATAAGAACTTTGATTAATTTTTCAGGGAAGTCAGAAAGTATCTGGGACCACTTAGTGCGTGTAAATCCTAACTTCACTAGAGATGGTTCTACACCTAACGTAGCTGCAAATTCCTATCATTTATATAAGAGAGATGCTGAAATGGTCCACGAACTTGGAGCGAATATTTACAGGTTTTCAATATCTTGGCCAAGGATATTGCCAACTGGTTTAGCCAATCAAGTTAATCCTCTCGGAATTCAGTATTACAAAAATCTCATAAGCGAACTGGAAAGATACAATATTACTCCTATGGTCACGATTTACCATTGGGATCTACCTCAAAAATTGCAGGATATTGGGGGTTGGACGAACGCGCATATTATAGATTATTATACGGACTACGCGAATGTATTGTTTGAAAATTTTGCTGATAAAGTTAAATATTGGATAACCTTCAACGAGCCAATGCAAACCTGCCTGGAAGGTTACGGCAACACATACCGAGCACCTGCACTAAACCGACACGGTATAGCTGAATATCTGTGCACACACAATTTGTTAAAAGCGCACGCAAGCGTTTACCATTTGTTCCATAAGCAGTATCGTCCACTGTACGGAGGTAATTATCATGTAATTTTAATACCAATTAATACACACATATATATTATATTTATATATAATATAAATTTCCTGGTTCTATACAGTTTAATTATACTCTAACTGTAAAAAATATATGCAGAAAGTTTCAAGTTTTTCATTAATATATAAACGTTGATAATATACCTAATATGCAACGATCTTTGAACAATGTTTCTTAAACTATCTGTGCTTTATTTAATTATGACAATAAATGAGGATATAGGAATAAAATTTGCTTATGTTTTGGATATACTTAGTACAATCTACATCGCCACATTGCATACGAAACTGTTTCCGTTTCTCATTCAATAGCCTATGATAGTACTATAATGTAAAAAAAATTGTGAATGAAAACTAGTTGTGCCTCGTGTCTGACTACGCAATCTTTTGCTAGTCATGCTGATCAAACATTCGTCTCTATCACGATATTTATTGCTAAATCCTTAAATACGATTTTACAAGTAATTAGTAAATTTAACATAATGTATCAGCCTTTTTTATTTGATTTTCAATATTTTTAATTTTCATTTCTATTTTTGTAGCGCACTAACCAAACACCAGACGTACATTAATTGCCATTTATTAATTTAAGTGTTTTTAGAATCCGCTTAACATCTATCTCATTTCAAATTTAAACATATATTTACATTTTTTGTGACTGTAAAGAGTATAAAAATTGTATGGTTAATAATAATAGAATAATAAAGCAGTTATAGCTTAAGGTGTCTTATAAAAATGTGTTGGCAAACCAGTTTTAATTTTCCTTTTAATCGTTCCTTGAGTTTTAAACAAAGTCATTATAGTCTTTATGCGGAAAATTTTAATTATTACAATAAAAATATAAAAAATAATCTAAATATTATTTAATTAAACATTTATAATATTGATATAAGTTTAACGTTTGTTTAAAACAAGTAAATTATACGGGCGTGTATTTAACTGTCTGATAATAATGCAGTTGCTTTAATGCATTTGCTTCTTTTCGTTTTATATGACTGTGATTAAAATTAGTAATTATCAACACAAATTCAAACAGAGACAATGATATCATGTTTATTGCACAATTCTAAATATAATAAACAACACATTATCGTTTTAAGATTAATTAACAGTATTAAAATGTCTTAGTTTCATTATAATCCTTATTCCAATACTTTGCAATTTGATATGGAACAGGAATTAAATAAAACTAACATTTTTCGGATATAGTACGCGTGCTTTATTTTAAAGACATTCTTCACATCTCGTCTGCCCGTGATCACGGTTGCTGAAAAGTAATCGAAACGTCGGGAGTATGTGGTATTTTTACAAAAAATAAGCACGTGTAGTGTATCCGAAAAATAATAGTTTCATTTAAAAGAATACTCGCGAAAATAATTTCTTTTTGAGAAAATGAAGTATCTTTAACCACAAAATATTAGATCTCATTAGGATGACAAGAAGTAGCTTAATTTTAATTCTGTTAAAAACAGATTGTTTTTGAAATATCAAAAAGTGTTAACGATTTTATATAAATTTCTGTATGTATATAAGAAAAATACGTTACAAAAGATAGACTTAGGGTACAAAATAGCGATCGTGCAATCGAAAGCGTAGAACCAAATGTCAGGTATGTTTCAACATCAAACAAGTCATTTATTTGTAAGCAAACCTTTAGATTACTTTAAATATTAATGTAGCAAATACTTTATACCAAATGATGATTTGAATTATTATTGTATATTTTAGTATACATTTTTGTTCGAATCTTTCTTTTCCATCCTTTTTTTTACTGTGGATTTTTATGTCATGAAAAATATATCATGTCATAAAAAAAACTCATTTTTTTTCTATTTTAAAGGACACACTAAAATGTTTTAAGTATTTCATAGTCACGATATACTTACTCATTGTTTGAATAACTTTTACTTTGCATTGACACAGTTGTACTACCAAGGTATATAATTTAAAATTAGTCAGGGGTTTTGTAACTTTTTGTTCATCTTACCTCATCTGTTTTAATATGCAAGTTGATATAAGATCTTTTTTTCTTATAATCTCTTACATTGATAAATTGAATAACAAGTTTATTAAGTTTATTAGTTTTTAAGGAACCTAACAAACATACAACTATTGATTTTTTTAAATTTACAATGAGTTTTACTTTGATTATAAATCTAAGAAGTAGTTTCTTAACAAAAATTTTCTTCAAAATATTAAACATCTCTTTAATATTATATACCTATTATGAATGCAACGCTAAACGACTCACAATTTGAGCTATTTTTCCTTTCTTAAAAAATAAAAATACTATAAATAAAAGTCATATTTTGAAAATTTTCAGGTTTTGGTAATTTTATTAAAAAATTATTCAAGGTCTTTTCCGTTTATTATCAAAGAGAACTAATTAATATTACACATTTATGACTGGAATTATTTTATGTTTTTAGGGAAAATGGGTATGTCATTGGACTCTAATTGGGCAGAACCCAAAACAGATACACCAAGAGACAAGATGGCTGCGGAATTGTATCTCAAAACTCATGTAAGTATGGACACCAGATTCGTAATACGAGATTATTTTCTATAAACAAAGCATTAATAAGGCAGTTATCCAAGACAGAAAGGAACAGTGGGAATCCCTGACAGTAAAGACTCGAGGATTTTCCCTTGACTGTCATAAAAGTAACGAATTTATAAAATATATTTTTTTAATTTTATTTTAGTTTTAAACTCTGCTTATTTAATTCATAAACTAATGAATGAAGTGGATGTCAATTTTAAATACCCAGTTATGTTTCCTTGACACCTATAGCTAATGGAACCGTCGATTCTCGTTTTGCGATGTAGATAAAATATTTGAACATTTATATTTTTTATTAAGATCTTTTGAGTATTGCTATAAATAAAATTCTTGATTTACATATTTTACATTCTATAGTTATGTTTTGACATAAAGTTTAATTTTCCTTAGGTATACCTGATTTAAGTTTAATATATAATGTAGAATGGAAATTTTATCATCACGACTAAGATTCAAAACTGCAATCTCTAGGTCTTCAAGTTGCTTTACCAAATAGACTCGATGGCATAGATTGAAAAAAGAAAAAAAATAGTCTTAAAATTTCTGAGTTGCAGATGGATTACGTAGTTAAAATGTAATTAAGGGCAATTACATTTATAATCTATTGTAGCTTTGCCGTTTCTTATGTTATTATTGATGGTTTGACTTTGAAAATTTTGTGTATATACCTATATACACTGATCAATTACTTCGTTTTATTGGATAAAATATGGAACACTAATTCCTTGAGCCCGAAAATAATACATATTCGATATTAATGTTCCTACAACAATGACGTCAATAACTTAGTACTATAATTCTTTAATATCTATTTACAGCTTGGATGGTATGCACACCCTGTATATTCGGAGACCGGAAATTATCCAGAAGAGCTAATCAAACTTGTTGATGAAAAAAGTAAGAAACAGAACTACACCCACTCTCGCCTTCCTAAGTTTACTCCTGAGGAAGTAGCCTATGTACGAGGAACTGCAGATTTCTTCGGTTTAAATCATTACACGACTTATCTTTTGAGCATGGCTGACGGCGAAGTTGGTGAGGTGCCATCACATGAAAACGATGTTGGTATTGTAAGGGTTCAAGATCCTAAGTGGCCGTCGAAGTCCTCTTCCTCTTGGCTTAAGGTACTTTGGAAAATAATATTATTTATAAATAGTGTTGTTTGTATTCGGTGACGTTAATTAAATTAAATGATTGAAATATTATGTTGAATATTGCATCATCCTAATATATGAACGGAATAAAAGTACCTTCATTATCCCTGTATACAGGCTTGGATATGCAAACGTAATTTTATATATAAGTCGAGTTATTCGAGCATCAAAAGATGATGAGACAGTTAACTTATGAAATACTTCAGGATTTCTTAAAGTTATCTTTTACATTTTTTTTAGAATTATTTCTAAAAACCGTCACCTACATACTTAAACAAAATACATTTCATATTAAATATTTTAACCCCAAATGATTCAAATATGTATATATTTTTTATTAACTTATAGGTGGTACCATTTGGATTCCGTCGCCTTTTAAATTGGATAACCAAAACATACAATAACGTACCAATAATTGTTACGGAGAACGGATATGCTGACTTTAGTGGAGTGAAAGATGAAGCTAGAGTTTCATACTATTGTCACTATTTAAATTCTCTTCTCCACTCAATACACGAAGATAAGACGAACGTTCGAGGGTATTTTGCATGGAGTCTGATGGATAATTGGGAATGGGACGACGGCTATGCGTAAGTATATTTTATTAAATCTAGTTTGAAAATATTCGTATCTATGTTTTTAAATATGATTATGTTACATATGATTTTTTATCGTAATTTGAATACGTTCTGTCAGGGTTAAGTTACTTTAATTCAATTTGATCGTTACAAATATTTTTCATTTAACCAACAAATAAATTGAAGTCTATACATGGTAAATAGTCAATTAGTTGGTGCTTTGCGATAACGTATCATGAATAAATTTTGCCAAAATAACCAATGTATTGGAACAACTATTTATGTTTTAAGATAAATTATAGTTTATTCATAGTATTTTATCCATAAAATATCAGCACATTGCTAGAATTTATAGAAATTAAAAGTAGTATCTACCATGTATTATATTTTGGAGTCCACAATGAATTTGATATAAGTGCCTCATGGCAATATTGGCGATACTTTTAACTATTTTATAATACGTGGAAAGTATTATACATAATTTGAATATCACGAACGCGTCACGACGTTGTATTCAAGCGAAATGCTCTGCACTATTGTTAATTTGTTACACAAAGCACGATCTTAAGTGATTGCAATTTGTGCCAAGGATGTATGCATCCTTTTACCTTTCGTTACAATTTTGTCTGTATTTTTTCTGTGATAACTACCGTTTAAAACTATAAAGGTTTTAATGATTTCACGTTAGTAATTTTAACAAATTGATAATTTGTTTCAATTGTGGTATATTAGTTAATGTTTTAAAATGTTGATCAATTAGCATGTTATTTATGATAATTTGACTATATTATATAAGTCTTAGTAGGTTTTCAATGGTTTTTAGAAACAAGCTCTATAAACGGTATGATATAGATCTTTCATTTATGGAAACGTTGACTTCTAAAAAAGTAATGGATCTTTGGAAGTACGTCAATTTCGGTAGCTATATAAATCTTAACACTCTTATTTTGTAAAAAGCAAAAAAAAATATTGTATTGGTAGATAATGTATTGTACTTACTGTACTCACTCTTGTCTGAAGGAAGTAATCTCATTCTACTTTGCAGGTCATAATAAACTAATTTTTTATAAGTTTATAACTTTGCTTTAAACTAGGGTCTGACTCTATTGGGTTCATGATTAACGACGATTTACTGATAATAAGTACGTTACTCCTCTTTACTTACTCAGTCTGTGACCTTTTATCGGTCAATACAAGTTAGTCCGTTTGATCACTGCATGGTACACTCTTAGTTATCATCAGTGCTCTTTCAACTTCCTCATTCTAGACAGGGACTTGCTGTATATGGCACAAGATCGGAAGTAATTATCTGGATGGAATGTGAGTGTTTAGTTCATTATACTCTAAAGGTAGCTCAACAGACAGTCAAGATAAATCTCGATCTTTGATAATGTACAGTTGCAGCTTACATCTAGAAAGTAATTTACAAAGAATAGAATAATGTAATCCCTTTTGTTTTCTGATAAACATTGAGGTGGTTTGATAGGTTCTAGGTAGAGATAGGTAGAGATTAAGTCGTGTGTTGTAGTATTAAGTATTATGGTATAGTGGAATAAGGAATTGGATATTATCTTCGCTTTGACTGAGTCGTTACGCTGAAATGAATTTTATTTGGGATCCTAGAATTTGGCTATGTTTGCCAGATTAATACTAAAAATAAATTATTCCAGATTTTCTTTTATGTCTTAAACAAAGTATTCACTTTAGTGATTAGACTATTATTCTCGTCTTCAGAAACATTTGATAATTAATATTTTCGAATATTATATATTACAGTTTATGAAATAATGTTATTGCTTTTCCCAAAGGTGTAGAAGATAGAATGTTTTCAACAGTCGAGAGTATAGATTTCTCCCATTGAAAAATAGCTAGCCAAACATCAGAAAGTCTTTCAACAGACAGTGTATGTATATTATAAATATATACACACTCTGGTGTTATTTGTTGTATAACAACAAAGCCCATAATAATTAAGAGCGCCTGTTGCTCTTTTGTTTTATTTTTGTACAGAAAATGTAATCTAAAAATTTTAACAAGGATTCATAAACTATTAATTTTCTGTCAAATTAGACTATAGTTCTTCGTTGCTATGTTAATATTACTTAACAAATGAACATAAACGTTCTACTTCAACTTGTTTTATAAAGTCGGTTATTAAATTAGGCTTCTAGTAAAGTTATTACATCAGTGTTAGTTTTAATATTAACAACGATATGTTTCTCATAGAATGATTTTATTTATTCTAGGTATTTGTTACTTTATTAGTTATTCTATTTCAATCATATGACTCTGATAGATTAGATATAATTGAATAAATTGTTGTCTATGATAGTTAATAACCTTATCGTTGCAAATTTTACATTATGAGGATATTGTTCAAAGCGATTTGCTAATCGACCGACTTATTGTTATAATTCAAACCTACAAGTGAATAAATATTAAATTGAGGTGATACTATGGAAAACTCCATAAAATTTATTCTAGAATTTTCAAATTACAACCGGTTTTATATTATTATAATTTATAAAATTCTTTTAATAAGATAACATTTTATGATACATTGTTATCTGTGCGTCATTCATATAATAAAAGAATATTGTTTGTACTTTTCTTGCTCACTTGTATATCAATATATCATGACACGTTTAATACGTAGAAGAAGAATTAAATTATTATTTACAACAAGATACTGCTATTTGTTTTGTAAATTAATGACTTAACAAGGATTTTTTTACGAATACGGGCTTAAAATGCCACACCCACAAAAGTAACAGCAAACATGTATTTAGATTTAATTATTGTGATAAGAGAAGTGGAATAAAACTCGTTTACTCAAATCACTCTATAATTTCACTTGTCATTGTAAATGCAATTGCAGGTCCCGCTTCGGTCTTTACTTGGTCGATTTCAATAGTCCCAACAAGACGAGAACTGCTAAAGAATCGGCGAAATTGTACACGAACGTGATATCTTCTCGAGGCCTGCCCGCCGACTACGACCCAGAAGATTTCACCGCCTTTTCCAGTGCTTCTCTTCTCGTTCCAACTATACTTCCACTCTTACCCTTGTATAGGCTACTTACATGACGTTAACGCCACTAAGTACGTATGTAAATCTATCATTACATTAATTAATCAATATTTTAAGTTTCATTTCAACTTGATCCCTAGTTTAAGTTTATGTTATCCTTTAATACTCAACGGTCATAAGTTTTCTGGCGTTATCCCGGGCTACGTCTCTTCTCAACTGTGCCTGGATTGAAACGAAGGACTTGCCTTTCGTTTCTGGTAGCACGGCGAGCATAAAAACCAAACCCAGTATAGAGAACGCTGAGAAGCCCCAGAATACTGTGTATATCCCGCATAGATCTTTTACAACCTGAAATGTTAAAAAAAAATAAGTCACTAAAATACTCTTTTTAAACGTTAATGACCTAATAGATTTTAGGGTTTGGTGTAGAAAGGGTTTTTAAAAGTTCCTTTTTTATTGAAGAATTATGTTTCTTATGCATCTTTTTCAGCGTAAAATACAGTCAGGTTAAAATATTGATTTGAATAATAATATTATAATGCCTCATTATATTTATATGTTCCGGAATAGCAGAAGTTTTCTAGTAGCCTCATATTTTATATATGTAGTATCTAACATCTAAGGTCTTTGTGTACTCTGGCAAATAAGCAAGCAGGTAATGGGTATGCATATTTGTTTTTGTAGTATGTGTGTGAAAATTTAATAAAACTTGTGAAAATGGCTTATGTCATAATACGACTTGTAATCCTGTTAATATTGGCATGACAGATAGCACAAGTATATTGCTAATTATGATTGATGAATATCTTTATTGCCAGATATATTGCCTTAATCGTTTTATTTATATCATCATATAGTAGATAATGTAAAGATATAAAATAAACCAATTATAATTACCTGGAAAAGTTTTTGAACTGCAAACATACATACTCCAGTGTAAATGTGTGCTACACAGGATGCATATAGTTTTACATTCGTTGGGAACATTTCGCTGATAATCACGTAGGGGACCGTCGATAGACCAATGGCATAGCAAACGATGTAAATAAGAAGAGCAGCGATGGGTAACCAGAATAATGGTGTCACTGAAGACTTATTTGTGTTTTCGAAATAGAAGTATGTTCCAAGAGCACCATTCATTAATCCCACGCCGAGAGCTGACAGCAGCAACAATGGTTTTCTACCCAGACGATCTACTAGAACCACTGACAGGCAGCATGTTGCTACTTGAACGCAGCCTAGAATAATAGATTCTTGGTAAGGCTGAATTTTGGTTTCTGTGCTTGCGAAAATTTCTTGTGCATAGGCCACTACAGCTGCACTTCCACATAACTGTTGAATGGTGAAAACTCCCAAACTTATCCATAAGGCTTTTCTATTAGTTGCCTCAGAGATTAAATCACACCATGTTCCTTTATTTTTCATATCCTCTTGGACGCTTACTTCTATATTCTTTAATTCGAGTCTTATATCGCCGGTTCTCAATCTCCTCAGAGAATTTTCAGCTCTTTCGCTGCGTTCAAATTTAAGATAGTAATAAGGAGACTCTGGTAAAAATATGAAGGTGATGACGAAGGTAATGGGTAAGATCAAGTTGATGCCTGCTAGGGTTCGCATTGAAACGAAGGGGCCAATACAGTACTGGCCAAGAATTCCAACCTGAAAGTAATAAAACATTAAATTAATTAAAAAATTATGTGGATTACTTAATAATATATGAAAAATAATAAATTATGTGCTTTTCTTTGTAATAAAAAATTAATACACCGTAAATAAAATTAAAAATACTATAGATAATAAAGATAGAAGTAAGTCCTTTAACAACATTTGTTTCTTAAAAATATACTGCGTAATACCTTGTTTAATTTAGTTTTACTCGGTTGAGTAATGCGTTTTAATTACATGTTTAAAATAGGAAACATTTAATGTATGTTGTGGTATTTTATTACTAATACGCGTAAAATTACTTCAAAATTATGTGTAACTTCTAATTATAGATACAGTAATGCTTTTATATATATTGTTTCAATTTGTCAATATACATATATATTAGTGCTAATAAATTCAATTAAACAAAGGTAATGACTTAATGAGTAAATCTCTCGAGTCTAGACCCCACTTTACGACTACTTTATTGTTTAATAATTACTATTTAAAATTGTTAGCCGTTTTATCATTAAATGCAAGCGGAATTGCAATTATGCCTTTAATATTACTGTAAATTAGCCTCACCTTATTTAATAATGTAATGAGGGTTGAGAGGGCGCCTCTGACTTCATTTGTTGCTATTTCTCCTGTATACATAGGAGCGACGGTGTATACAATTCCATAACCGAGACCAGAGAACATTCGAGCTACGTAAAGATATGCCACAGACTTGGCAGCGATGACCAATACCCAGCCCAGGATGAAGGGTATGGCTCCAATAAGTAGAGTTGTCTTCCTTCCAAATCTATCGGCCAAATAAGCCGATGGTATTGGTGTTAATGCTGAGCATAAAATCATGATAGAAACTATCCATGATCCTTCATCCTCTGTTGTTGGTATCGAACTCTCGCTTGATTTTAGATATGGAAGTGTTGGTGATGGCCATCCGTAGCAGGTACCTGCCGTTGCAGTGATAAGTGTAGCTGGAACGAGAAAAAATATAACTTAAAAAATGTGCCATATAGTATAAAAGTAATAATAATTTTACACGGTTCAATTCAAACTTTTGGTGCTCTTACGTTGCTTTAAAATTCAATGAAACCTATCTATTTCCATGGTACATTTCATATTTTTTTATCAATAAAATGTCATGAGTAAACAGCTAGAAATGTTTACATTGATAACATCAAAGCTGGGTTACGTTTGAAAGATAACTTCATATTAATGAGAGAAAGCCAACATATACATATATACTTATGTACATGTATTTTATTTAATGATTGTGCCATTTCATCGTTGTTTTGATTTTGATGATAAATGTAAAGGGCTTATACTAAACAATTAAATAATAATGAAAAGAATAAATTAAAATATACAACTATAGCATCATTATTCCTTTAGTTTCAAGATTTTGTTTTAAAAATTTGCTACTTATTATATCTCACACTCATATTAATAGTAAAATCATTAGTTAAACCAAGTTTACAAAAAATATGAAGTCAACATCTACGCAGTTAGAATTTGTTATCTTCACGACTTATCATTCCTCATGGAAACTTATGATCGGCTTTTGGTATTTCGTTGTTTCCCGATTCCGTTTATCAATGACAAAATACGGAAACGTAACAAAAAATATCATTATTTTGTTATTAATATTTAATATAAATACGGCAAACAATAATATATAAAGATATTTCGACTATTAGGAACAAGGCAATTTATTCGTCAATTATAAATATTAAAGGAATGGGAAGAAAGCTATTGAGCGAAATTAAATTACTTGCCTCTCAGACTAGAGTGGTTATTCAATAATTTAGCCGGGAAAAGAACGATCATGTGTATATAAAGAGCTGTTTAAAGGAATCAATTGTCCAATAATTTACCTCTTCCGAGTTTCATTAGTTAAATGATACCCATGAGATAATTTCGAAGATAATTTTACAATTTGCAAACTGTTTTTGTTCGGAAAAGTAAATGTGCTTAGAAAGCAAGATTGCTTCGATTCTTTATTTGGATTCAAGACTGGCGTTAGATCATCCCACGCTTGTATGTGACGTGTTCAGAATGCAGATGTAGAGGATGGCCATAATTTTGGGGACGCTCAGCGTTTGCCAGTTGGCACTTCATTTTGAATATATAGCGTTGCATATCACAAACGTGTATGTTTTGTATCTAATTAAACATTTCAAAATTGAAAGACATGGTTAAAACAAGAATAGATTTTAATCGATACTTTAAATGATAGTTTCGTGAATTTTTTAGTTTGAATTTTTCGATTTTAGAAAGTAATTGGAACAAGTTATAAATGTAGTTTTAATTCTTTGATTTATTCATTCATTCGGACCAGCGGAGCTCGCGTCCAGAAATAAAACGTTTAAAGTAAAAAGATTTCGGTATTTTGAAATTTAAATATTTTATAAAACTCGAAACTTTTCTTTAATATTAGTTTGACATGTGTATGCTTGATTAATAATTGGATGTTGACGAGTGTGATGATTAAATCATTTGTACTGCTTTAATGATTAAATAGATAATTGATTTGATATAGAATATAATAAATAAATATTTTCATAATAAATATTATATAGAGATTATTATTATTAAAAATATGCTCTGGTGATGTTTTATAGTTACGTAAGTTTTTAATCAGCAATTTAGAAAATATTTACGGTGTCATTAAAGAAATAATTTTTCATCAAGTCATATTAATGAGAGTTTAATATTAACAAAATTAAATTGAGACAAAATGTTATTTCGTATCCGTACAGAAATTACATAAACCCTTTGTCATACAGTTTTAAACTCATTAATGATGCTTTTAAATATTCTTCAAAATGTAATTTTATAAATAAATTTGCTTTCAATTTTATGGTTTGTTAGAAATAAACGTAATATCCTTAGTGATAACATATGGTAGTGTCGCGCCTGTCGTCCTTGGTTGTTCAAAATCAAGAAACAATTAATGCCGCTTTGTCGTAGGTATATAAATATCTTGTACGTTTTTAAGCGACCTATGTGAGAGGTCGCACCCGTTGGCGGTGAGGGAGAGGGGAATTGTGATATAAACTGGCTGAGCGTGCGGCTTAACGATCACTTCTTAGAATTGCTTATATATTTTTTATTTATTTAGGAATTATTAACGACAATAACGTAATATTACAGCCACATTGCGAATTTACAATCGTGATAAAAATTTCCGATGTTTTGAACGCTTCGATAGTTCACGATCTTATTTCGACATATTATCCGGTATTGAATAATACATTCAACATATCTTAACGATATCGTAGATTTTCACGAGTACACATTTAAATAAAACGACGTTTTTCGTATTTTCTTCACGAGACTAGAGACGGTATGAAAGTGTCACCTCGTCTGCCCGTAAACCTGTTTGCCGAAAAGTAATCTAAACTTCGGGTAAAATGTAAAATAAAATACGCTTAAAAATCAAGGAAAAAACTACTACATTGTATTTAAATACAATCAATAGAAAGTTTAAACTTTATCGGAATACATTTCGAATGACTTTAGGAGTATTACTTTCTTAATTTTGAACACTAAAAAGTGAACTTAATCTTAGAAAATAATGACATTTAACGTTAGGACAGTAATATTTTACTTTTACTTTAAAATATGTACTCTATAGAAAACTATGTATATGGGAAAATTTTAAGATAAAATAAAACGTACGTAAATTATTTCAAGTGTAAAGATTTGTTTTTCATTTCTGGCATAACTAGTATATTTACCGACCATATACGTAAATGGATTTTAAAAATGTTGAATAAATAATTTATTTCATAATATTATGCATGAATAATTAAATAAAACTAAAGACACATTAAATTATTCGTAATTATGTGGTTTGACCTTGAAAGTTTGACACGCGGTATCCGATAAACGTTTTATTTCGCCTAAAAATATTCACAGTGTTCATAAAAAATTACATAAAAACGAAACCAGGAAGACTATTTTATTTCAATGTCCGTATTGTTTAATTGAGCGTCTCATAATATGATCTACGTACTGGTACATAATGTGTTCTGTGTCTCAATATGGCTTAAGAATTTTGTTATACAAATACTTATTGTGTGGGAGTTTACTTTGAAATCATCGTTTTGTATAATTCTGCGTCACTCTTTTTATACAATTACAGAAGTATTTTCTGTAATTTAGATTGTTCTTTAAAAAAAACGCAAAAACTCATAAAAAAGGATTTATTTAAGATAACACCTATGTCCATTTAAGAGCAGTGATGGCTGCGGTATTTTTATTTTATAATAATCCATTTAATTAAATATTTTCCTTGGAATTTTATTTCTTATATTACATATACTTCATTAATTAAAATATATGTTATAAACGTTACATAATGTATTCTATATTAAGTTTAATTCATTATCAATCACATGGAGTCAGAAAGACATTTGAAGAGTGAAATTTTTAAATTGGAAAAAAAACTTATCCTTATAATTTGAAACCAAATTAGCTTTCAAAATTGACAGTGATAGATGACAAATTTAAAAGAGTATTCTGATACGACCAACAAAGGGGTTAAAGTCAGTAAAAGTCATGTTATTTTTAACACGGATTAAAAAAAAGGTAAAGAAGAAGGTAATTTTATCGTGACACTATAATTTCATTAAAAGATCAGGTAAATTTCATAATTAATTTGAATATTTTTCTTGCATTATCCATTCGGTATGAACAAGTTGAATAACATCAATACTTGTATACAAATATTAATGTCTATATAAAGCACGATACTTTGTTGGTTAATTTGATTTTGGCCAAATTTCAAAATGAATTAAGAAAACAATAAACGTGTCAGGCAAATATTTATATAAAATTGTAAGGTCATTCAACGCTGAGTCAAACAGTGTACATTTAAAGCTGTGTAGTTGACTTACTTCATTTTAATTTAACTTGGACTTCTAGACTTGTTATTGAAAAAGCAAGTCTTAAACAATCTATTGAATTCTGTTTTCCATTAAAGTTCTCGGTATTCGATCGTCATTCATTTGTTCCGAGGGACCTCATTATGTATGTTGTTTTCAATTTGTGATAACCTATAGTAGTTACGTTTTTAAATGTTCTTTTATCTTAATTCTGTACGGCAATAAATGTGGAATTTGCATGTAATATTGCGGATACATTTTCTTTACCTCTACTAGTAAATATTGAAATTGTCAAATAATTAGTAGTTTCAGGTTGAGTTTAAAAAATTATTTATTTTTTTATAACGTCTTCTTTATTAAAATATTTTCTTGATTACTTGTTATAATTTAAAAATTGTGTAAATTTTTCATATATATGACTTATGAGATTATTTGTTTTAATTAGTAGTATTATCGCCAGTACTTACTATTGACATTTGGGCTATCTTTATTGCAACGTTAAGTTTGAATCACCCGTTGCATTTGACGTCATTCGTACTTGTAACAGAGCTGTGTTTTCTTAACTCATGATACCGGTGCTTACTGTCTCAATATCAGTTATATAGTTATAGATTGCGCACAGTTTATACTAAGGGTACGATAATGAAATAATATTCTCTATAAAAAATTAATTGAAATTTCAACCTATTATAACTCATAACAATTTTCTTATCAAGATTCAAGTAATTGGTTTTTAATGTGACCAAGTAGATGAGGACAAATTTAAGGCTTGTTCTCATTTCCGTATAAACGTTTTATTTAATTTAATTGTTCGTTTTAAATAATGTTAGTTTCATAAAATATATATAAAACAACTCAGTAACGTTACGATTAATGTCGGAGTCTGTGGAAGATACATTACAAAAAATATAACGAAGAGATTTAAACCATAGAGTGTAGACCCTAAAACAATTATTGTTACATTTGTGTCTTTGATTATGCTCGTTAAGCTCGGCCTTCACTCATTTATTGTGGTAAGTTAATGTAAAAAAATGGGTTGATTTTAATTCTTTTGTTTGATCATTATTATCTAATAATAGGAATATATATGATCACACAGTTAATTATTCCGAATACTACCTATAAGGAGTCACGGGCAGAGCTCTGGTATGAAACGTAATTTTCTTAGAATACAACAATCACGGTTTTCTATTGTACAGCTGTTTGTAAACATTGGTCGTGTTGAGCGATTTTCACACGAACGTAGAAAGATGTCGTTGATAAATCTTCCGTTAGTCCGTGGACAGTAATAACCTCTCGTGTCATCTTCACAAGTTATTTACGTATTAAATTTATGACATGTTATCATGTACCGATTTCGTACCTCCTACATATTTATATTTAACATAATTTATATTTAGCATAAAACATGACGGACTCTTTCGCTTAAAGAATTTTATTCTACCAAGAGCATTTGCTAAAGAGTGTTTATTTAATTATTAAAAATATCTAAAGAGAAAGCAAGAAACAAAATGCAGTATGATTATTGTTAAATTATTGCCAATAGCTTACCGTTTGTGAAAATAATCTTATCGGAAGCATTATTTTTATAAAACCGTATTACCTTGCTGATACAAAATGATAGGTCTGTAATGACACATGCCTCAACATAGATTTGTAAACCTTCAAACAACAACGCTTTCATTTTTATCGAGTATAACAAAATAGTAGCATAAAATAATAAAACAATAAAATTATCTAAACTAAAAACGTCAGTACTAATATATGGTTCAATAGAAAAATAAATGTTATCAACAATAGTGGCGTTCTGTGGTATATAATTTGAAAGGAATAAAACTTTTTGACGCAGGTGTATAATCTCGATTGTGCCGGATCAGGCTATAATTAAAATTTATCAGTATCGCAATCGCAGACAATAGACATATTATTGTTTAGATAATTATTATATGACTATATTAAAATTATTCACGAATTATCAGAGATGATTGGATTTAAATCGATTAATTAAAACATTCATCAGTTCATTACTTTGTAATCACAAAGCAAATATCTATGACTTTTTGAATTGCTTATTCATCTATTTACTAATAACAAATTACTAATTTACATATTTAATAAGGTCAGTGTAAAATTATTATTTATTTGATTTCCAACGAAATTATGTGTAGGGATATTTAAAAGTAGCACTTTAACTTCAATTAAGCTACATAAAGCAAAAGTAAAATGTTATATCAACATAATAATTCGTGATTTCATTCTTGTTATTTATAATTATGTTGTAGATATAGAAGATATCCGTGATAAGAGATAACACATTGGGGAAAATATACGAGTTGATTTTGGAAACATACCGGTTATTTAGGGCTACGCTGTATACTAAGACATTTAGTAGAGCTTGCATCTATTTTAGGTAATTATTTCTATGCTTACCTAATTTTAACATAAAACACAAATAAAATAAATAGTTTATATTTTTGGTAATAGTATATCAAGTAAGGATTAATGTTTTATTACTATTTTGAAGTAAGTAAAGATTTTTAGTGAATCTAGATTTTAATGTAGCTCTACATCTTTTAATTTTATGTGGAATACAAGTTTTTCACAGACAACAATTTTGGCGTGGACTTACAAAATAAAGGTATAACAGTAAAATTAATAATTTCATTAATTTGAATTCGATTCTAGAAACAGTTAATGTAGAAATATCACGGAAGTTATATTGTTATATAAATATTTCTATTAATGCCATGTATGCAAAATACGTTCCAAGAATCGTAAAATTCGCAACAATTTAAACAAATGTAGATTTTATGTTTAATCTGATTTATAGTCAACATTTTATTTATTAATTAGTTTTTTGTTTTCGACATTTTAAATTGTTTTAATTCATAGATCAGTGAACTATATTGTTTTCCATTTTATTGCATATTTTTTATTACTTTTTCATGTTGAAATAAAAAGTGTTCTTATAGGACAGGGACTTATATTGAACTCTGCTATGGCGACTAACTTTGACAAGCCTGTTTTGGTCAAGGTAAAGAAACAAGTCGAAGGAATTACAGTTCTTCTATAGACTATTAAATTATAGAACCCGATTAAGGTGCAGGAGACCTCGTTTTATTGTTCCTTGAAAGATTATCGCCTATGCACAGCAGAATTGAAGAATTACAAGGGCGTTAAAGCATTTTTCTCAAAGCATTTTATATGAAAAAAAATATAAAAATATTAAGATAGATAATAATCTTCACACAGACGGAATTATTAAAATTAAATAGAAAAATTTACATTATTAATCCGATTGCTTAGTCATAATTGAGAATTTTATTTTTAGATTCTATTATTATATAATTATAATTATAGATTAAAGTTACCTACTTACTGGTAAACAAGCAATAATAATGTAAATAAGACTTTTGACAGTAACTCGACTAGACAGGTTAGAAAGATGAAGAATTATCAAGACGATACGGAAAATGTACAATTAATCAAAGTCGGTTAAACCGTTTTACAATTACATGGTACTAGCAAACATACAAATAGGTCAATAACATATTAATTTTGGTAGCTGCGCATTAGTACTGATAAAAATATTGTATACAATATACAACTATTAAAACAACAAAAATTAATTGAAATATAAATTATAAGTACATACTTTTATATAAAAACTGAGTACAAAAATACTTTGTTAACCTAGATAGTTTGAAAACATAGATCAAGAATAATATAAAGTAATGTAAGCAATCCCCCGTGCTAGCCTTTTAAGAGAACTAAAACTAATTCAAATTCTTAAGTTCATTATATATGTACACGTACAAAAACCGTGCATTAGAATACTTTGTTAACCTAGATAGATAGCTTGAGAAAAATAGATCAAGAAAGACAATATTGAGTAATACAAGCATTCTCCCCGTGCTAGCAACCCTAAATATACCTGAGTCAGGCGTTTCCAAGAAAACGGGATTACCGTTTAAATGACTCCCCCGTCCCTAAGGGCGGTACTTTGAGTTGGTTTTATGTTGAATATTTTTGCAGACTGCTTAACCTTCTCATAATATCTTCTTAGATTTTATATTCAATTGATATTAGGACTAATAAGGGGGTTTGGGTTTCGGGTCTAGTGCTATGTATTTATTTAAGGTTTTCTGATAGTATGAATGGTAAAGAAACATATAGATACATATTTAGCTAAACGTAATAACTGACAATCGGTGAAGGGACGATATATCACTGACTTTATTTGACAAAAAAGCAATGATAAATAAGATAATTAATTGAATTAAAATTTTGTTGAAAATAATATATGAATAAGGTTAACATAGATCGAACTTAAATATGCATGTTTGCTTCGTTCCTCTGAGTTTATTTTAACTCTAAATTTATTGCAAGGGTAATTTAGAAGATGCGGTTAGCTTGGTAAAAAATTCGAGCTCGTTTTGCGTTACAGGAATTCGAAAGTACCGGTTTTAATGGTAGTGGGTAAGTTATGCTATTATAAGTATTTGAATGTAGAGCTGGGTGATAAGCCCATAGGGGATGTAAGTTTGGTCACACGTGAACTATACTTGACGTACAGAGGACACGTTTCATTAAAACGTCAGCCCGTCGCGTTTGGGGAGTTATGTTTGCGATAAACGTGACCGCAACTAACATAATGTAGCTCGTTAGTTATATGAAAACATTCCACACGTTTATCAATTCATTAGAACATTCAAAACGAAATAATGAAACATGATTTCGGTTTAATTGTACGAAAAACACTTGTGCAAACACATGGAAAACTTTATTATATACCACAATTAGGTTAGAATGTACTCACCACAGAGCGCTGTTCCATATTCCTTCCAATGTGAACGAGTTTTTGCCGTCATTTCAGTTTTTATAAAAGATATTATCAGACTAAATTTTAATAGCGCGACTTTTTGGAATGAGATTAACTTGAGCACTGATTAATTATTTAAAAATAATAAAATATTTATATAGAATAAAAAGGACCCATGGTTATAATGGATATAAATAATAACAAAAGATAAAACTTAAATATCACAAAATAATATAATCAAACTAAATTTAATGGGTTTTAAAAAACGTTATAACCGATTTGGCTTCATTTTGGAAGGTTTATGTGTTGTTTGTTTGCTGGTACATAGTGCGAGGAGACGCTTGGAGTGTGCTAACGCGGCGGCGGCGAGTGAACAACTGAACAAAACAGCGGAAGGCGAACGAACTGAGCCAATAGCGCTGAGTGGAATGGAATGAAGCGAATCGGCGCGGGCGCACGCTTTTGCTCCTTGTTTATCGGATGGGCGAGTTTGCCGGCGTGTCAAGTAGCTCTTATAACGATAACAAGAAGGCCGATATTCACGACAACTGAGCATGCAGAGAAGATGCGTTTGTTAGCTACATCCACGCGCTCTGTCGCACTACTTACACTTCAAACGAATCGCTTAGAGAGACAGTTATTTTGGTTAATACAATATAAAAATAATACTGTATAGATTTTGGTTCACGCGCAGCGGTAGGCACAATAGTCTATTGGCACACAATCAGGACTGTAACAATGAAAATCACAACATGAAAACTACGTGAACATCCATTTGACATGTGAATAAATTTTTACGTGATAATCTTTTATATAGATGTTGGTATCAGTAAGCTATAATATAAATAGATAAAAGAATTCTTACGTATACTTAGACGTACTATACATTATATGTACAGTGGAATATTTATAGTAGACGGGAATGAAATATTGAGACCAGAAATGTAATTTCTTTGTACTAAAGTAGGTCGACCTGAAAAGAGTCTTATTATTATGGAATAATAAGTTTTTAAGTAATCAAATTGATTTTAGCGTAATAATAGAATAAATTTTAAAGTTAAATCTTTACTATTTAACGTCTAATTATAGAACTTTCTGAATCAAAGTAATGAAATTCTTACAAAGTATTTTAGCTCTACATTTATAATTATGAAAATACAACAATATTTTTAATTTCTTTTTGTTCGTTTTTCTCTTTGTTTATCTTCATTTCAAAAACAAGTTTGTTTATAATACTTAAATATATTTTAAGATCTTCAGCAAAATGTTCCGCTTAATAAGTTTGCTTCAGTGGAAAGTTGCTATTCATTCCTCACTAAAGAATGTTCGATTCATATTGGTTTTTACTTATTGTAAATAATAAAGTCTTTATATTTAGTCAAGTAACTTTAAATTAAAGGTGATTTAATATTTATTGATTAATAAATTTATTTTATTATTATTTTTGTCGCCAGATAAAGCTGATTGAAATATCTTTTCTATTTACAATTATCCATAGTTTAATTTATTGAAGGTTATTTGATAATAATATAATATGTACAATAAAATATTTTCAAATGTAATAAACGTGATAAATCTCAAATAATAAAATGATCGGAAAAATACAGATTTATAATGTATTGTCATTTAGGTAATTTAATAGTTCGTCAAGACCATAGCATTTGTGACGGTTTTGTGATTTTCTAAATATAAAATGATAAGAAAATAGATTTTATTGACTGTGGGAAAAAAGTTTCTGGTTATATCGTGTTTGAAATATGACATATAAATTTTTAGTTTGGCAAAAGCAATTTGTAGGGGAGGTGTTTATTTTAAGAGTATCATAAGTGTTAGAGATAAACTTCATACTATTGAATGCATCTCTAACATAGTTTTTATTAATCTTTTGAGGTAGTGCTAACCTCCCACATTACAACTGCTTGCATTATACGTTATTTTGCTTCTCCCATATATCCCAAGTGATACTTGAAAAATTTACTCATTCTTTTCTTTTATGGATACCATTACTATTCATTGAAACGTCTAGAATCTAGATGAAAGACGATATTGGATCTCGTATCAACTTTAGACGCCTTCAAAGTACTGACATCTGGTGTTGGCTTTGGTACTCAAGAAACAAAAGCAGTTTTCTGCTTTTTAATAACTTTTTTCATAAGGGACTGTTAAAAAAATCACAACAGATGTCTCTTTGCTACTTTTTAAACATGGGTTTGGAACGAAATACTAATATTTAGCTCTACGCAAAAATTACAACCCACAACAAAATAAAATAATGAAACTTAGCAGTTAATTGAGTTCATTTCAAATATGTATTCTGTTTGTTTAGGGAGGTACAGATACAAACATAACACCAGCATTACAATTCCAGGTGGTTATTGTAATTTGTCTCATCTGCTAATTTCAATGTTAAGAACCATAATCGTTTATTTCAAGGCAAAAAAGTTTAGGGGAAATGGCACTATCACTTGTTTCTTGTGAATAGATAAATTATATATAAACTAATCACTACTTATTTGGTAAATATTTTTAAGGTCTTGAGTAATTAATGAAGACTAATGTTCGGAATGTTAGATTATTCAGAGTCAAGAGGTTACTATCACGAGGGCTGTTAAGGAACCAACTAGTTAGTCAAAGTGACGGGTAATCCTTTAAAGGTCTTTCAAGATTTAAGTTTCAGAGAGTTTCCCCAAGAGTTTCTTCTGACAAAAAAACCCCGTACCTTCTCCTGCTCTCAGTCAGGCCGCCGTACATAATTGCGCTTGCACCTTCAACTCGGCTAAGAATTCCACATACTTTAATTATTTTTCTCATCACTTATTTAATATCAAAAAATATAGTTTTTTGAAAAATAAATGTAGACTTATTACTTTAAGAGTAACATGTGACTATTAACAATTTTGTTCATCATGATGAAATGCTTTCTAAGGTATTAAAAATATTTTATCAAACCGTTACTTGGTACTTTGAGCACAATTTTCATAACCGTAATCGAGATCATAATACATAGTCGCGTCAACTTTAATTCTTCCCAGGTATTATAAGTCATTGACATAACTGGTATCATATTCTACAATCATTCAAGTCCTTTGGGTACTGCATTACTAATTTCATATCCAGTAACACTTGTTTCCAGTATAAAATATAAAAAAATACCATGTTTATCTGGAGATTGATGAAGGTGTAAGGTATCAATCTGGTTTCACGACATATTTAGAAACGCCACATATCCAATAAATAAAAAGGAAAGACTGTTCAGTATATAGAGACAAATAGGAGTGTATTGTGGTGTATTAAAAGGGAAAACGCACATATGATATTTTATAATTAACATAATATAATAATTATAAGATCATTAGAGGCTATCAAGAATCATCTGTAAATAAAAATACTACTAAATATATTATAAAAAAACACATGTCATTTCGTATATTTTCCAACTTCAATTAAAATTTATAAGCTATATGTAAATACAGTTTGTGAGGTTAGATGGATTTATACATATTTTTATTCTTTTTAAATATATTTTATCCATTTATTGTGTGTCATGGCTATGCACATTCTATTTTTATATATATAAAAAGATACTAGCCTGAAGCTTAGTTCGAATATCGGAACACCAAGTCAGAATTTATAGCCATATTGTTTGGTACTTTTGGTAATACTAATGGGTTGCGCGGGCAAAGCTGAGTCAATAAACCAGTCAAGTTATATTCGTCTAGTCTATATTAGTTGAAATATAAAAGTGGACTTTGGCCATCATAAATTATTAGTTGTCAAACTAGTTACAATGTAGAGAAAACAACAATTTACTGACATAATAACACCTAGTAATTCTAAATAATGATTATTAATTCAATTTTCAAAGAAAATGTTTTGAATGTTTATGTAATAAAAAGAAAAAGAAATTTCTTAAAAATAGGGAAAGTAAGCATAAGCATAAGCGAAGCTTGTGTTTCAAATAGCTAAAACAACTTAGAATGTTGATATACGATCATGCAGTGGACGCGTGAAAAGTCTGGATATGTGCACACGAGCATAAAATACTGTATATATTATACGACAACATTAAACTTGTTCGACGCTTTCACATATGTGTGAGTTTTAAATGCACACATGTGATGAGACTTATTCCGCTTCTCGCTTATTAACATTCGCCATCATTTTGTTGTTGCTAGTCGAATCTGATGAAAGTTATCAACTTATTGTGCAAATTTTGTCACGTATTAATTGTCAACGCTATCAAATGTCACAACGACAAATATTGTTCACGTCATTCAGTGGCTGTTTCTTGACAAATAATTTTCAAAGTTGTCATTTACAAATCCTTCGTAGGAGTAATGCCATCTCAATTGTTTATTCTGTAAACATATTCAACATAGCCTTCCAAAAATAAATCGTCCACGAAATGTAAATAGGAAGAATTAATAAACATATTTGTTCAAAAATATATTATTTCGTCCGATAAAAGTCCTTCTCGTGTTTCAAAAACGATTTGGAACCAGCGCAACAAATTAAGCCAACTTCAATATTGACAACACTCTATTTGTATTAGCTTCAAATATTATGATATTAGGTAACATGTGTTTTTTAGCATCAAATAAATTATGGAAAGCGGTTGGTATGTTGAAAAAAGATAAGCCAAGCGGTTTAAAAATGTGTGTTGCAGTTTAGTAATACATCCAAGATAACAAGTGAATTGATGGTAAATTTTCCAGTACTTACTAGAAGCAAAGATTATAATTATATTACTTGAGGATAAAAAATTTATTAAATTATTAACCACGTTTTAAGCTATTATATTTCATTTATCTGTTTATTATTAATCGTCATATGCTGCTATTTAACATGACGTCATCATGTTTTTAGAATAACGAACTAATTGGATTTTAAGAGTATCATGATAGTTATAGAAAGCATTAAACAATAGCTCCACTTTATTAAATATTTTCAAAATCTTGATGTATCTTGTATTGATATTGTTAGCTGTATTTCAAATTTCACAGTAACGATGAAGTCTATTTTCCATTTGAGGCCTTAGAGAAACTAAAACACAGGGATCAGTGTAATTAAGTTTGAAATAAGCCACTGAATATTTAGTGAACTCCGAACAAACAATATTATAAAATTCCACCTCGAAAGCATAAATAAATAGCTGAAATTCTTTTCATTTTATAATATTATTGATATTACAATAATATTTCCCAGAGAAGCCCTTGATGTTTATGTTTAATATTTTTTGGATAAAATGCAAAAGTCAGAAAAGTTTCAAAACAATGGAATGGAGGTTCGGAAATGCGAAAACTTTTCAACAAAGAAGACGGGGATGTATCTGATAAAGTAAAGAAAATACTTTTTTAATAGCTCCTTTTCTGAAAATTATTAATAAGAAATGTTTTAAGCCATATAAATAACAAGAGATCTCTGTATAATTATTTTACCTAAAATTCTTTTAATTTTAGTTTTATAATTTCTGAGATTCTTTTATTTCATATAAATTAATTTATAATATAATTATATTAGGACTAATAAATGTACAAAAACTCTAGGGTGTTTTAATAAACAGTGACACTTCCATAAAAATAAGAAAAACGGAAAGAAACAGAAATATAAAAATCATAACATTTTCCTTATTTATTGGCATTTTTTATATGAATAGGAAATATTTCTGTATCAATTTTTCATACATTATTTTGTAAAATAACATTAAATTATAAAGTACTAAGGAATTAAAAAAAAGTTTTTTAAATGATAAACATTATCCATTAGGAATTTTATTAGCATTTTTTATATAAAATTAGTAAGATAATAGAATGTTTTAACAATATTTCTTTATAAATGGCACAACTTTAAGGCACAGGAATGCATAACATTTAAATTCGTAAATATTTGATAAAGTATTGTTATTTAGAGTTATTTGAAGAATACAATTCATCTTGTAATAAATACTTATATATATAGTTTTACATTTATATTTGTACTCTAGATATTTCTATATTAGATCTACCTATACAGCGAGCCAACAACTGATAAACATTTTAATTTAATAATTAGAATAAGTACGACAATTAAAGATAACAAAACATTTTACTACGTAAATTATGTTAAGTATTATATAATAAGTAATTTGGAAAGCGTCGTGAGATTCATATTTTTTAATCTGTTTGTATGCTATATAGATAACATTATTATTTAGAAACGCTTTATGGAATTATACAAAACACCAAACAAGGGCTTTAGATAATAATAAGCGGAAAATCAATCCTGTTATTAAAATTTGTGTATTGATTTTGTATACTAATAATACTTGGAGGCAATTATTGAAATGTATAATATAGTTTTGTTTAATTATATATTAATACATTAAAGTCGTAATTATTGAAGATACACTTTAAAGCGTTAATATTCTATATTAGGTAATAATAAGGACACAGCCATGTTGTAGTTGATTTTAATCGGTCAAGACCGTTCATAAGTTCGAATTAACCTTATTTATTAAAATAATACTATATGATCAAACGTAAGCTATAAGCGTTAATACATTCCCTTGTATTCGATTAAATGTCCATTAATTCTTGATGATAACAAAGATGCTTTGTTATGGGTATTACGCTGTTTGCAAAATATTTGTCTTGATAGTCTTTATATTACTTTTGGGACAATAACATTGTTTTCTTTAAAACGTTCTTATTACATAACATATTGTTTACTTAGAGCTGAGGGGGACGGAATTTTAAGTACAATCAAGATAACTTATCTGATTTATTTTGGTAATATTCTAACGTTAGCCGAATGATCTTCTCGTTTCTCGTATATGACTTTCTCATTTTTATATAATTTTTCCTGTATAGCAGCAAAAGATTGACCTTTCGTCTCTGGTAGTAGAATTAATATAAAAATAACACCACCTACAGATAATAAACCAAAACACCAAAAGGCAACATGGTGTCCTAAATGGTCGGCAGTAACTTGATATAATTTTGTAACAATGAAGGTCATTAGGGCCACTAATATTTGTATTATACAAGTTGCTTTGGATTTGATATTTGTTGGAAATATTTCGGATGTTATTGCGAATGGTACCGTTGCTAAACCTATGGTATATGAAAATATAAATATTGGTATCACGACTACTGGTATAAACCTCAAGGAAACAACGTATTCGCTATTTAGATGTTTCATATAAAAGTACGCTCCTATAATTATGTTTGCAAGTCCAACACCACAAGAAGACACTAACAGTAGAGGCTTACGACCTAATCTGTCGACTAATTGTGATGATATTGCCGAAGTCAAAAGCTGTACCGTTCCAAGCAATATACATGATTCCTTTGCACCTAAGCCACCTTCTGCAGCCCCAAATATTTGTTGGGCATAAGATATAATTGCTGTACTTCCACAGAACTGCTGAGTAAAATATATCCCACTTAAAATAATGAGACCTTTTCTATTTCCGCCTACAATAATTAAGTCCTTCCAACGACTTTTGTCCTTCATATTTTCATGAACAAGATGACTCATGCTGTCTAGTTCTTCACTAATATAATTTCTTCCTCTAAGATTTTTTAATGATCTTTCAGCTCTATTTGTATCTCCCGTTTTTATAAAATAATAAGGAGATTCAGGCATTGCAGTAAATGTTACCACAAACAGAATGGGAACAGCTATATTGAAGCTCGCTAGTCCTAGCATCGACACGTAGGGCCCGATGCAGTATTGTGATAAGATGCCAAGCTGAAATAAAAATAAAAAAAATTTTAGTACCACATTATGATAAATTATTAGTGTATGAAAAGGTATTTTGAAATTCATAAATGTTTTTGATAGAAATTGAAGCATTCATGTGAAACGAATACCTCTTAATGCAAAAATTAATCAACGTATTACGAAGATTGCAATGTAGTTCCTTTTAAAGAATTCATCGAACTGAACTTATATCGACGGTTGTAAAAAATACATATATGAGAGTAATCCATTTATGAGTTTATTAAATATGGTTGAGCTTGAAGATAAATTCTTTGAAAGGAATTAAATAAATGTAGAAAAAGTCCAGAAACTTTAAAACATGTTATAATGTCACGGAAAAGTACAAGTGATAGGATTAAATACATATGTAGTTGTTGAAATGGGGAGAATATGCTGTTTTCGTAATATAACATTTAGTCAATGTTAATTTTTAGACAAACATCATATTAAATGAGATATAAGACTTTCGCGAGTTTTCATTTAATTGCAACTAATATTATTTTATTATCGCAAGATCTGCATCCCGTCGTTTCGGTTACTTTTCAGCAAGCGTGATCACGGGCAGATAGGATGTGAAAACTTCGGGAGTATGTAGCTTTTACAAAAATAATAATATAAGCATAGTATATTCCGAAATATATTACTTTCATTTAAACGTTACTTATTTTTTCCATCTCATTTTCCCTTCAATTGAATTTATAACACAATTTACCACAGTTAATAACAAATAAAGCTTGTTAATATAAATAGATATTAAAACAGTGATTGAATGCAGATACTAAAATCGCTTAGGAGTATTAATATTCAGGAATAATATTTGATATTCCACTAGTTTTACATATTAATTAAAATCAATTACTTAGAAATGATAAAATGAAAAAGAAAATCTTGAAGGAATTAAATTCTTGATGTTTTCTAATTTAATAACTTAGCTTTAAGAAGTAAGAGATTACACAATTTATAATCGAAAGAGATTTTTTCTTAAACTTTGGTTTATCCAGTATTGAAGGAAATAGTGGAAGAAAACAATCATGAAATTTTGTTTGATGTTTGGTAACTATTCGTGTAATCCTTGAAATATGCTCAATTATTTATTTAATTATACTTTAATTAAGGATAGAAGAAACTTTTTCATCTTCTTGTCCAACCTATCAAGTGTGTTAATTTCACAATAATGTGATTGTGTGTGGGCATATTTTTTGAAATTTATGACGAATGGATTTATATTTATAACATTGGTCCTAACAATATATATTTATAATAAAAAGGATATTTAATGAAGATTTGAGGAACAAATACGAATGAGTGCAATCACGATACTAAATATTGATATAGATTATTCATTGAATATTTTCTTTCAAGCGTTGTAATAAGCAATAGAACTAGAGTTTTTTATCGTTTAAATTTATATGAAAATACATATAATGAGATCTAAGATTTTCGAGAGTATTTATTTAAATGAAACTAATATTATCGGATTTACTACGCGATTTTTGTTTTTGATTATAAACTACATTCTCCCGACGTTTCGGTTACTTTACAGCAACTGTGATCACGGTTACAATAAAAATGTTAATCGAAAATATTAGTTTCATTTATATATGTAAAACCACGTTACAATAATTACCTTTGACATAACTGTTATAAGAGTAGCCATCGCTCCTCTGACTTCATTTGTGGCAATTTCCCCTAAATACATGGGCGCTGTTGTGTACGCGATACCGTAGCCGATGCCGGAGATGAGACGAGAAGCGTATATCGTACCCACATTCTTTGCTAACATCACCAGGATCCAACCTATTATGTACGGGATGGCGGAAAGCAGTAGTGTGCGCTTTCTTCCTATTCTGTCTGCAAGGTAAGCCGCTGGGATGGGGCTGAGAGCTGAAAATATAAAAATCATTTATTATTAACTTGCTAGTAAATATTAAATACTAAATATAATCACACTTTTTCGGACATATTCGTTTAATATTGTAAATTATTGTTATCGTTAGTTGCGATTAATATATTTAGGTAGAATTTCCATTTTTATCAATCAATCAAACAGTGGAGAATGATTTTTAGTCGACTTGATGTTTGTATGGTAAATAATATGTAGAATTTTGATTACTTTCCAACCACACCTTTGTTTTTAACGCAAACATTAATCGAAAGCTAAATGTGTCATTTATATGTAGAAGGCTGATAATACCTGTTCGTGTTTTATTAAGGTGTTATAAACATCTTTCTTTATTGTTAGAAAAAATATGTTAAAAATTATGTTGCCTTAAAGATAATTTACCTGAAGACAGAATCATAAGAGAGGCGATCCACGAGCTTTCGTCCGCAGAGGTCTTTATGGGGGAATCGTCTCTTCGAAGCAGAGGCAATGTAGGAGAAGTCCAGCCAACCGTGGTGCCGGCGGCAGCTGTGATGAGTGTAGCTGAAACGTAAACAATATTATTTATATATATATTTTGTTGCATACTATGAAACTGTGTATAATATTGGAGACAGTACGGTGGAGCCTTTTGAATGTTACATAACACAATACATAGTGACGTCATAATTGAGTTGCCATATTCTATTAAAATTAATTTTTATGGTATCGCCTTATTTATATATTATAAAAAATAAATAAATAAATAGATCCTTAGATAACTGATGTTGTTGCTGTAATTATGTATTATTTATATAATTGTTTAAGTACTGATATTTAATAATCTCTTGTTTGATGCGTGTATTATATAATTGCGTAGTTTGAATATAAATTAATTATAGTTATTTGTAATGAGGTATGAAAGATATAGATAAATCTAGATATAATTTTAATTATTATTTCCCGTATACTTGTTTGTTCTCATTACGCCTTATCTCTGTAATCTTTTCTCGGAAAACAAAGTTTCATAAATTAATTCAGAATAGAAATAATACATTAAAGGGCGTGTGTTTATTTTCCTTATGAATTTCTCTCAACATAAGCACCAGCAACGTTTGTAACATTTTGAATTACCTTTATCAAATACCTGTTTTGTATAATTGATACTATTTTTAGTTATTATAACATAAAAGAATTGTTGAAAAGAACAGCAAAGCTTCAATGTGTCGATGATAAATTTATAATTTAATTTCTTCTACAATATTATACTAAAAAAATATGTACCAAATCTAAGGTTATAATGATATTGTTCTGAAAAAAAGAAGTTAAACTAGCTTCTGAGTAAAATTTTTGTCATGCGTAATGATAAATTCAGTTTTATAGAAAAAAAAAATAAGCTGAGCTTTGTCATAAAGTACTTCATTATGGATGCTATGTAATACGATTAATTTCATTAAAAAAATACATATATAACTTTAGTATAACGTAAAAAATAAAATAAATATAACAAAAATATATATTATACATATATTAAGAGTACTACGTAGATATTTTTTTATTCTACATGCATAATTCATTTCCTCTGCTACGCTGAGCGATAAAACTTCAGTAAATTGATATTTAGTCAAATAATATTTTGTCAGTGATTCCAAAAATACAAATATACCATATTCTTTGGATAGAATTTAGATATTTCACAGAACATAAACCATGGTTTATTTACTGGTTTATTAGAGCCTCTATTTATAAAAATCTTGTAAAAGTAAATAATTGTTTTGCTATTGTGACATGTAAAGTTAATCACCGAAACATTAATCGCAAAAAACGTACGAAGGTTGACAGGTTATATGCATATCATTAAAATATATTTGGAATTATAATGTTGTTTTTAAAAGTAACAACGACACTTTAAATGAAGTAAATTTTATATTAATTCAACAAATAAATTATAGAAATTTAATAATGGTTGATTTACATTGATTTTGTTGCTTTGACTTTAATAAAAATAATCTTCGTTTTATTATGTCATCGAAGTGTTCAAGATTAGTCCACAATATTTATATTCAATTAATTAATATCGGCAAAATTATTTATTAAAAGCTTTTAGCGAGCTCGCAACTTTAATCAGATAAGATTAAAGTTAAGCACTAAAAGTACGAAGGTACTCTAAAAAAAGATTGTCATTAATTAATATACAATGAAACGAGTTTAATGTAACATTGAATGTAAGGGGAAGTATGTGTTCCGTTAAGTATCTCATTATAACGAGTGTTGATTTGTATTGGTTTAACACATCGCGGGAGAGATTTTATTCCAATGATTGAAATATATAGGATTATAACTAGAAATTTGATTGAGAATATATTCTTGTTTATATCGTAGAAAATAATTTATAACCTGTATTTTCTTTGAAGATTACTATTGAGCAAGATTTTTATTATTAGTATTTTTCGACATTAATTATGTTATTTGCGTTACATATACTCTTCGCCTTTTTGCTTACCTAAGAACCACTAAAATAATAATTATTATTTTTACACTTTAATTTTTTTTATTTAAACTGAAAATGTCACACAAACTCTCATAAATATGTAGCGATATTAAAACGATGTATAACTGGTTTAAAATTATAGATTTCGCAACAAATTTAAAAAATAAACTTCCGGTAGTCTTGTATAGTTTTTGTTGAAGCATTGCGAACATGTGGTCGATTTCCTTTGTTGTATTTTATGTCCTGACAATTTATGCTTCATAACATTCATTTACATGAAGAATATTTTGACTTCGTTCACAACAGTAATAAGCTAAATGACTTGCGTTTATTTACGCGACGTCCTGTGGCGCTTTAATATATTCATAATGGTTATAAAAATATATCTCGAATACATTAATTAGTATTCTTTGTTTTGAAATAAAATAAAAAGCAATAACATTTCAGAGTTAATTTTAGAATAATATGTATTAGGGAAAAATTCCGCGTTTTTTGTGAACTTGTTCGTGCATTTATACTGTTAGTGTTATTTAATTTGTTATTTGATATGTATGATATACAATGTAATAATGACATTTGTTTCAAATCCATTATATTACACGATATAATAAATGTATTGAAATTCTATAATGACAGCAAAAGTCACGTATGAATATATGTGTAAATTAAATCAATTGTTCTCATTTTCTTTTACAAAATAAGCTACTTTCAATAAGGTCAATTTATTTATGATTATAACTACACCTTCTTATACTTATAAGTTAAATGTGAATATTAGCTATAACTTAAATGTGAATGCTTTTATAAAGCATTAATTATATATTTTTAAAGATAAGAAGCAATATTTTTATCTTTAGAGGCAAATGTCTTAATATTTCAATATACTGACGGTCACTAGATAAAAAGAAGAGTGATCAAAAATAACTATGACCGTTCTCTATTAAAACTACAAACAAAAATATAATTAAACAACACATATCTTGTTTTATGTTATTGTATAAAACGTAAAAGAAACAAATATGACAAACGAGTTCAATACATTTTAAAACAGGGAAAAAAAGTTGAAAAATCTGGTAATTAAACAACATTAGAAAATCTCTTTGGCGAGAGATAAGTTATGAAGTATTCAAAGTCAGAAGAGAATCTTTGAAAGGAAACTTAGGATATTTGAGTTTATGTTTTAAGATTTGTTGTTTCGTCAATAATTATATTAATCACCAAATTTAAAAGCCAGATTGGGAACAAAGTTATTATTGTTTAAATAGGTCTCTGTGAAGACAAAAGCGAAACTTTTAAGACAATTTGCATTTTGATATATTATTGAGATGTAATGATAGTTAGGAAGAAAATTCCCTAAAATAAAATTAATGTTTTCGAAACATATATAATTCTATGTAATGACATAGAATTACTTAAGATTTTAATATATTTATTCAATGTCCGGTAAAATATTAAAGGTTTTTATAATTTAATTCAGAATTATTTAGTTCATTATCGTTACGGCCGTGGAAGAGCCTCGTCCCAGAGGTCGAGATTTCCATTTTAAATGTGCATTTTATGCAATTATAATTGTTGTGAATATTTTGTTTTCTGTACACGTGTAATACATATGTTACTAATGATGGAATCGTATAAGACGCAATATGTAGACTTTTATTTTAAATGTAATTTGTCATATAAGTTGTTCGTAACATGATTTTTTGATGGACAAAGAAATTTAAGTCATTTTACCAAAAGAATTTTCTAGTACATTTTAAAGAATACCATAAACGTATAAATGACAAACAAAATATGATGGATTTTAATATTTTCATGTCTATATATATACCAAATAATTTCACCATATTTCATGACCATACAAAGTAAATAATTTCAGTTAAAAAGTTTTCTATCTTTTACATTTTAAGAAAGCGTGAAGTGATATTCATTAGAATCATACAACCAGTAAAAGAGCCAATTAATTATACTATAAATGTTATAAACAGTTTCGCAATAAAGTGTGTGATTTAAACATAATTCCTCGCGTATTTACTTTGTAGTATATTGGCTTTTTATAAATGTTGCATCACAATTTCGAGTCAAAACGGTGTATTTTCGCTATTAACGTGTCAAGGTCTCGTGAAAATTCAAGGTTCAGTAAAGAATGTTATTAAGTTGCTAATTTGTTACATCCCGTAGAACCCACATTAAGTCATCATTTTCCATTATTACGGCGTGATCTTTCATTATCATAATTAATGAAAAAATCTGTATTTTTATCCATTTTCCTCTGTAAAATATTACTTATTTTTACTTATATAATTCTGATGTTTATTTTAGATTAGAAATATGTCTATTTAGATGCTATCTTATGTGTGTTTATTCTAATATTACACATACATGATTTTATGTTGAACACTGATAGTAAAATAATATAATACAAGCATATAAGGATGAGAAGTAAATATAAATGAATTATTAGAGCGAATAAAGTTTTTCTAGAATAGCGTTGTATACTGTATAATTGAATATTTTCTAACTGTAAGCGTATCACAAATTCAAATAACCTTTCATAATACATTATTTATAAAAGACAGTTAAAGCAAACTCATACAGCAGTAAGATGAACAAGCTAACTTACTATCGGAATTCAAAAAACGCCGTAAAGCAAAATCACTAACATTTATGAATAAAATAATTTAGATTTATGATAAAATCGTTTGGATTTATTAATGTATAAGTTATCAATTTGATAATGTACTCAGACGGTGAATGAATTTTCACGACAATGACACACTAAAATATAGATTTAAATGTAAAATTTTGTCAGGCGCAACGGAACAAAGATTAAAGTGACAAATGTAAGCTGAAAGACAAATATATAATTTCTTATTTACAGCAGCATGCTTTAAAATATAGCAGTTGATGATAAGCCGGCTCCAGTGTTGCCCGTGCGCACACATAAACCACACACAAATAAAAATAACCGTTCAAACACTAACCACTGAATGCTGCCACATATTCTCTCCACTTGCGATTTATATTCATTGTTTATTTTCCCACAATAGTTTAGAATAAACATTTATGAATCCTGCACAAGGAAATCAGCCCATGCGGTCGGAACACTGTCTGTCTGTGATGTGTTTTGGATGCGAGTATTCACATTAATATTAGACGTCCACGTGCTACCCGCGTTTCGTCGTAAGCGTGAATGGTAGCTCGGATGACTGGTCGTGTTGATACGGACAACGGGAGTCTCACCACTTGACGACAACGATACGGCACCGATACGGGTATCAAAATGACGTTGCATTACATATGGGTGAGATAGAAATAGTATAACGCTGTCACTCTTTTATCTATGTCACTGATTTAGTTCGTGTCGGACGACTTGTCGTTGGATGTTAATAATAAAAACATACATGTCCAATTGATGGATTTAGGCGCTGTCCGTTTGTTTATGATTTGGATAAACCCTTTGTAATGTGAATATCGTTTTGTAGTCGTCATATTATAACGTCATACTTTGATTCATTATTATTCATTATAGGACTTCCTAGTTGATCGCCAAGTATGCTATGGAAGCAAGATGTTTGTTCAAAAATACCAACGATTATTTTAAATAAAACATTATGTTGGTCTACTATTTTTATACACACTCCAAGTGGCTATATATAACTTTTTAATAAAAATACAGACGCTATTTATGCTACAAATTCTTGTGTAACTAAAAGTTAAATTATAAATAATACATTTGTTTTTTTATTAATTTTATATTTAATTGTCTTTGAATACGTCATAAATTAATAAGAAACGTGGATATAAAAACAGAAATGAATTTTAAATCCGTATCGTTTAGCTTGAAGTTATAATGATTATGGATGGTTTGAATTGAATTAAATTTAAGATCATGGCTACACGGACTATAAATTATAACTATTTTATGTCATATAAAACAACTGTTAAATCAATTTATTGGCCGTTTTTGTAATTAAGAACATTATTATTTGTTATATTATATGAGATCTCAACACTGTTCTTGTAATAAAGTTAAATTAGGTCAGATGTTCTATGAGTTTTTCTTGGACTTTTCAAATGAAGTGTCTCAACAGGCGGCTGAGTGCTTCAGTGCCTCTTATCCTAAGCTTTTTCTCTTATTTAACCTTCATCTCGTTAATCTTTTCTCATAACGTCTTTTCTTAATATCCTTTCTCGTCTTAACAAAACAATTATTGATTAGTTTTATAACGTAATGTAAAATGTTCCTTCACTATAAACGCTGCCAAAAGATATTGTCGTTGGTGATATAATAATTATTAATTATAATGAAGAATATATATGACCAAAATTTTTCTTATATCAAAATAATTATGTATGGAAAGAAAGAAATAAAAATAGTAAATGAAGATTGAGTCGTTTTACATGTATCTCAATATTTATTTATTTACTATATTAATGTAGACATATCACGAGATTTAGTCATAACAATCGTCTTAACGAAATGTAAGTTTTTAATTAATCGAGATAAAAACCAGTAAACATCTTAATGATGCACGAACAAAACAAGATCAGGAAAGGATAAGGTTTAAAGGTCAATTCCAAGTTCGCAATATCGGTAATTGCTTATTATCTGTACGAGTACTAACATTAGATTTTATTATATACGCTTCAATGGTTAAATACAATCCAGAGTTATATATACTGTGACGCATTTCATTAATTAACATGATATCTACTAACAAGCCACTGAACATTGTATGTGTTTACTAACTTGATGTTTTCTACAACAAAGACTGAGTGAAGTTGACTTTACTACTCGGTCAACTAATTAATGCTTAGTTAAGATACATTATCACTTAAAATAGTCTAGGGGGTATTTATGTGAAACTGTTTAGGGTTGAGTAAATGTTTATAATTCACATTAGTTTATAATTAGAGCGGCGTAAGGCTTTGAGCTTTTCATAAAAAGGTAACAATGAATTAATTTTGTTGGTCCTCTGGATAAATACAAATTTGTATTTATTTTCACTGTAAGTAAAACTGAAATTAACAACGAATAATCAAAGTTTGACTCTTGAAGGCTGAAAAAAAAGTGTATCAATATAATATTCAAATACATTTGATAGATTTTTTGAGAGTGTTTTTTTTTATAATTATACGACGTTATTCTTAATGACAGACGCTTCCTGTTGTGTAGCGACTGTAAAGTTTTAATTCGATTTGACAAATTCCAAGAACTTTAATTCTATAAACAAACTTTTAACCCGTTGTTTTAAACTCATTGCTCTGTAATTTCGCATTGACGTTCTAATTGGTTGACAATGCGAGATATTTTTTTTTCTTCTACAAACAAAATAGGTAGATTGCTAAAAAATTTAAGATCAGTTATTTCATACCTCTGTGATATACATAATATGTATATGAGGATTTTAGATAGAAGTGTCAACTAACTGTTTTATAATAATATTATTGTATCCAATGGTTTCAATATGAAGCGAGCGTAAATCATAAGCTGTTACATTGTTAAATTGTACAAATGAGCATACAAATTATTTAATCCAATTACAGAATAAAATTTCCAACCAAAGCTCTTTAAGCTCTCATTTGTTAGGAAAACCTCAGTGTGAAATACTGTCTTGCATTTAACCGAATTAATTCTAATGAGATAAACAAGTAAGTAACAGATATTTTAAGAATTAAATGACCAAGCAAGAACTTTTAAAATATAAGAGATAATTTGCAGAATTTTAATTTAAAAAAGAAACGTCAATTACTTCTGTTTTATGAGGAAAATTGTACGGGACTTATAAAATGTTATAAAACTCAAAATTGATTCAGATCTTTCAAAAAATTTACAGGAAATAACAACAAAATAGTAATAAATGATTAAAATTTTAACTAGAATGAAAATTTTCAATGTTACCTATTCGTAATAATATGTCTGTCAGAATAGAGTAGGAATCTTAAGAGTAATAAAAATATACCATGTGTTACTATATAGACAATTAAATTAAATTGTTACCCAAAATTACTATATCATTAATTGCTTATGTATAAAGGAACGTAATTAATGTATTTATTATAACGAAACACAAGACAGTCAATGGCAATGAACGCTATTGTCGTTATGTAATTGGGTGCAAAAACCGACACAAGGTTATCGTATTTAAAAATGTTATTTGTTTATTTGAGTTTTAATAAGGAGGTACAAACTATCCGCCGACCAATTATAAAACTCCGTAAATCTACTCTGGTTCTAGAAAAAACGGTAACAATAGACATAATAAATAAAACAAATGTAACAGAATATTATAAAAAAAATCAAACAAAAGTCAATAAAACATATATTGTAAGCGTTAAATCCTTTCCACTTGATGAATTCCTTGGCGTCACTTGTTTCCTTAAAAGGTACAATTGATTTTACAGATTTTCTGAAATATCTATAAAATTTTGGTTTTATATGTAACTTTGAAAGTGGTAGAGCCTAGCTGTAGTCAAGTAATTACAGCTCGAACCCGGGAAGTACTACCCTCTTACAGAAGTTCAGAGTGAAGTAGTCGTTACTGGCAGCATTTCGTCCGATGAGTGGGAGCCGGATGCCTTTTCCTTTTTCCTACTCTTTTCACTCCCGGAATGTTGATGTATTCAATGACTTTCTATCCTGCTGTAGCCTAAGTCTGTTTTGAAGTGTTGAGCGTGTTTAATGTGCATGAGGTCCAGGGAGATCCTGTATCTGTGGGTCAGATTGGGGGCCCTCCTGTAAGTCGTGCCAGCTACACACAAAACTTGACTCTCAGTTTAAACCATGGTTGGTTATTGAACCATCAGCATCTGTAATTCCCTTCTCCTCAAGGCTGGCTTACGCATCCTCAATATCAAGTTGCAGATGTGGATGTGATTACGATAACTACGTCTCATCAAGTTGGCCGTCTGCTCGTTTGCCGTCGTCACCATAAAAAAATAAATAACATAAAAACTCTAAACCCTTAAAACCTCTAATGAAGTAATAAGACCTAATTAATATAAGTTAAATTATTAATATACTAATGGATGGATGTCTCAGAAGAGATAGTAAAATTTATGTTCAGTCAAAATTAAAGTTAACCCATGCTAGATGAAATGACGAAATGTAGGAATGAAACTGATAGAAAAACAGAAGAAGTTAATAATTTCATTGGGTATTGATAATAAAATGAGTCAACAGCTGTACATAGTTATGTGTAATAAACAGGTCTGTCAAGCGACCTTTCATTAAAATTATTGTAAAATTCTCTTGAAATGGTTTACATCACCATATTTTATATAACGATAAGGTTAAACAATTGGATTGTCAGCATTGAATTTCACCACAAACCACCAGTAATTGCTGTGAATTGATGACATTAATTACATTGAAATTATTGATATCAGCGTAATAATTTACTTGAAATCTGAATATTTATAAGTGATATACGAATATTTCATATTTAATTCAGTTATCAAACGAATATTTTTTATATAAAAGTAATTATGTTTTCGTTTTGATACGGTGTAATTCACTATGTTTGTATACATAACGTTTCTTGTTATTAAAAAAGTGTACTTATCATATATGTTTTAATTAATATACATCCGGAAATTATTTTTCTTATCATAGCTATTTGTCGTTTTCGAATAAAATGTATTTTGTAATTACCGAAGTATTTTACCAGTATTCCTTTTAAAAATGTATTTAAAAAGGATCTAGTATGTAGTATTCACATCATACTTGTAAATGGAATTTATAAAAGACTTGAGGCAAAATGTATCAAATGTGTTGAAAAGTTGAAAAATAAAAATTAGGAGTGACGAGATATCTCATCGTTCTATACTAGGGTTGGTCTTTCTACGGATTTATTACTACAACAGCCTACGGCTATCCACAGACTTCCTCTAACTGGGAACTTCGAATTTATACGTTGCCGGGGATCTCTTTCAGGCTTTCAATTTATCTATAAATGAAATTCTAGCTGCCAGAGTAAGTACGAGTGTAGCCTGAAGCATAGTCTCTGATATATATACATACAGGT